CTGGCCGGGGGCATCGACTCATGCCAGGTATGAACTCAAACTGACAGGGGGCGCTGGATGCGCTCTCCTCTTGGCAAGACAGCCCTCTTCTCTTTAGGGTCTGGCTGATAGTTCCTACCAACCGCTAAGTCTTCGTTAACAAAATGAAAACAGGTGGGAACCACAAAAGCGGCCAGAGCCGCCTTCCCTGCCAGGTATGAGACAGGTATAATACAGAGGCATGGTGAATGCATTGTTCTTTGTTGGCTCTGGTCCCTTAGGGTGACTCCGGAGGCCCTTTAACCTGTTCCGAGCCCGGCCCGCACCCCAGAGAGGTCCTCTTTGGAGTCACCTCTTGGGGGGATGGCTGTGGGGAGCCAGGGAAGCCTGGGGTCTACACCCGTGTGGCAGTATTCAAAGACTGGCTGCAGGAGCAGATGAGCGGTGAGTACCCCCTGGCAGCAATGGTCCTTCAGACTGTTCTGGACAAGCCGGGTTTTCATCCCGCTGCTCTCTCTGGAGGAGTTGAGGATGAGTGACAAGAGGTGCTCTGTCATCTGCTTGCAGCGGCCCCCTCCACTCGCGAGCCTAGCTGCAGAGAACTTCTAACTTGGGACCCCCGGGAGGAGGAGCCGGCCGTGGATGCCGCGGGGCTCTGCGCCTTCTATGCGCGTCTGTGCCCAGGGTCCGAGCGCTCCTGTGCACGCCTGGCTCTCCAACAGTGTCTGCAGCGCCGGCGGCGGTGCGGTCAGTCCAGTTCTCCCAGGTCGGGGTAGGGGGCCAGGCCCCACCCTGGGACGACCGCTCAGACCTTTGTCCCACCCTCTAGAGCTGCGGTCTCTGGCTCACACACTGCTCGGCCTGCTGCGGGGCGCGCAAGAGCTGCTCGGTACCCGGCCGGGGCTGCAACGTGGAGTTCCCGCGGCTGCTCGCTCCGCTTCGTCGCTCCGGGAGTCTCCCGGCCACAATGCCCGCGAACAACGGTTGTACTCAGGTATCCCGTGGGCCCCAGGCAGGCCTAGCCCCTAGAGTCGCGGAGTCGTGTTCCCTCGCCGAGGCGTGAACCCTAACTCGGTAGCTTTCCCCTAGGATCTCAAGTTGCAGAAACCTGGTTCCAGAAGCCAAAGCCAGAGCGGCGCGCGGAAACAAAGGGTAATGTCGCCCCCTGCCGGCCTTCTTCTAGAGAGGCGATGGGATTGTCTGCTAGAAAGCCCCAAATGACAACAGAGAAGACTCGCTATCTCCCTCTCTTCTGAGAGAACAGATAACTTTTTAGGGAGACCTGGGACTGAGCCCTCGTTAGTGTCAGATAGAAACGCTCTGCCTTGCATGACCACGGAATCTCTGCCAGCCTCACTTTCCCCATCTGGAGCCCGCTGAGGCTGCCGGCCCTGGGATGCCCATCCCTAGCACCCTCTGCTGTCTGATAGTCTGGGGACCTCCCCTTCTTGCAGGCTGCCCTGGGCTGGAGCCCCTGCATCAGAAGTTGGCAGCCATTCAGCGAACACACGCCTGGATCCTACAGATCCCGGCTGAGCAACTGGCCATGAACTTTCACGAGGTAGGGTCTCAGGCTGCCCAAGCTCCTTCACAGTTGGCTGGGAAGGCTCACCTGACTGGAGCCCAGTGCAGCAAAGGGACTGGGAGGTTCAGCTTTTGGGGGGTGGTGACCTGGGATAGATAACAGGTGGATGTGGAGAGGGGAGGTAGAGAGGTAGGAGAGAAAGGGCTCAAGTGGATGTCCACCTGATCAGGCAAGTAGGGGGACTGCGGGGGGAGGAAGGGGGAGGCCTAGGATCTAAGTGGGTTCCTAGGCTCTAGGAGGAGGGAATGGCCCCTAGGTCAAAAACCTTCAGGAGTGGTCTTTGGGTCCTGACCTCCTCCCTCTACAGGTGCTGGCGGATCTGGGCTCCAAGACACTGACAGGGCTCTTCAGAGCTTGGGTGAGGGCCGGCTTGGGGGACCAGCGTGTAGTCTTCAGTGGCCTGGTGGGCTTGGAGCCTTCTACACTGGCTCATAGTCTCCCTCGGCTGCTAGTGCAGGCTCTGAAGGCCTTCCGCTCAGCTTTCCAGACAGAAGGAGAGCCCCAGGGACCCTGGATGGGTGTGGGACAGGGACAGAAGCCAGGAATGGGGCACCACCGCCAACTCCAGCGTCTTGTTCACTGAGCCAGGAAGCCCTGTGAAGGTCACTTGAGCCAGGAAGCCCTGTGAAGGTCACACTGTCCCCAGGGGCTAAGGAGGTTGTAGGAGCTATGACAAACTCTCACTATCCCAATTGATCTTGTATGTGTGGATAGAGTGGGGGTCCTGTACCTCACATGTCTTCCCAAATGTGTCACCAGACACTCACAGCTGCTTTAATAAATGTTATTTATAATCCACATTAAAATCTGGAGCTTTATTGGGATGGGAAGAGCATTAGATGGGTGAAGAGCAGGGGCCAGCCCCCGGGAAGCAGTTAACAGAGATGACAGAGAATCTGGAGGGAGCCGGGAGTGATGGTCCATGCTTGCAGTTCTAGCACTCTGGAAACTGAGGCAAGGGGATTGCTATGAGTGGGGGAAGTGCTACAAAAGCACAAGGATCTGAGTTCGGGTCCTCAGCACCCACCTGTCACCCCAACCCTGGAGGAGGAAAGGGCAGTGGGTGGGGACAGACAGATCTCAGGAGGCCTCTGGCCATTCTAGCTGCTCCAGGCGAGCTCTAAGTTCAGGGAAGAGGCTCTGTCTTGAAAAATAAGGTGGAGGGGTGCAGTTGGATCCCAGCAGCAGCTACAGGGCCTCGGTCCTTCTGTGGCTTCCTTGTCTCCCTCTCACTTCCGGAAACGTGGCTTCTGGCGGGGCCGTCTCAAGTGGCTGATCAGTGACATGAAGGTGTGTAAATCATGCCAGGGGGAGCGGAGAGCAAGGCTGTGCTCTTCTGCCTGAGTGAGGACGAGGACACCATCCTGGGGGAGGGCACAGAGATGTGGCAGGTGATGCAGGCCAAACCTATGACAAGATGCTGCCAGACCAGCACTGCCACTGTGCCTGCATGCAAGCAAAGTGATCCACATCAGCTCCAAAACTGCCACCAGGAAGTACAAGAAGTACAACCAATGAGTCCAAAGACGTCAAGGACATCTGCTCCCTGGCAGTGACAGCGACAGGGGTGTCATCTCCCTGAGGGCAAGTCCTTAGGCATCACCTCCAATCCCCTGCCTAGAACAAAGAACAGCCCCAGAACTGCCCGGGGCTATTGCAGGTGGCGCCCTTCTTGCCATTGCCAGACCCCATGGGCATCCCTTCACCCCACTGCCAAACAGTATTCCTGACCCCAGACCAGCGGCTTCCCACCGTTCCTGACTGTTCCAGCTTTTGCAAACCCTTTTGTCTTGTGTAGAGCAGATGAGGATGCCCCAGGCACCCAGTTTGAAGATGAGTTGTGTTCTTTTAGCATCTATCCCTACTGTGAACTTCTAACCACAGTGTTTACTCTGGGTGTGTCCAACTCAGTGTGTGAATGGAAACTTGTAGAATGACCCCTCCTTGCCCAGTGGGTCCCCCTCCCTTTTCCCTTGGTCTTGGCTACTCATGGGAGCAGGGAAGGTAAGGGACCTTCAGTTAAAATTAAATAAAGAAAAGAAATGGCCGGGCAGTGGTGGCACACACCTTTAATCCCAGCACTCGGGAGGCAGAGGCAGGCGGATCTCTGTGAGTTTGAGGCCAGCCTGGTCTAGAGAGCAAGATCCAGGACAGGCACCAAAACTACACAGAGAAACCCTGTCTCGAAAAAACCAAAATAAATAAATGAATGAATGAATGAATGAATGAATAAATAAATAAGAAAAGAAATGAGCTGGCATGATGGCTCAGCAGGTAAAGGCACCTGCTACCAAGCCTGGCAATCTAAGTTTGATTGCCAGAACCCACACGGGGAAAGAAAAGAATTAATTCCTTCAAATTATCCTCTGACTTCCACACATGTGCCATGAAACAAATACACACACACACACACACATACATGCAGGCATGCACACACAATAAATAAACACGTGCTTGTTTGTTTGTTTTTGGGTTTTGATGGGTTTTTTTGTTGTGGTTTTTTTTTTTTTTTTTTTTTTTTTGGTTTTTAGAGTCAGGGTGTCTCTGTGTAGCCCTGACTGTCCAGGAACTCGCTCTGTAGACCAGGCTGGCCTCGAACTCACAGAGATCCGCCTGCCTCTGCTTCCTTGAGTGCTGGGATTAAAGGCGTGCGCCACCACCGCCCGGCTTAAATGTAATATTTTTAAAAACAAAAAATTCACAAGTAAAGGTAGAGAGCTACCAAGACAGCTCACTGGCCATAGGGCTTGGTTTACAGGCCTGACATAACCTGAGCTCACTTCCAGAACCCTCTGCAGAAAGAGAGAAACATCTGCGAGTTCTCCTCCGAACACACATACTGTGGGGTGCGTGCACGCGCACACACACACACACACACACACACACACACACACACACAAATATTTAATAGACTATTTAAAAACAGATGAGATGGAGGACAATAGACTGATCTCCACAGGCCGCACACAAGCACAGACACACATGTATACACACTAGACACGTGTACACATACCATACGCATATACCATATGCACAAAAGAAGCTAGAGCAGGGCAGCTACTGATATGCTAACGGCAGCGGCATATCCAGCGGCAGCTGCTGGCCTGTGTCACCACACTATCCATGGCTACCAGCGTGCGGTGTGCAAAAACACACACACACACACACACACACACACACACACACACACACACACCATGTGTCCCTACCCTCCATCACCCTCCCAGCCCCCACCCTCCCAGCTCTCTGTGACAATCCCAACCTGGGATCTTTGCATCCTGCTCTAGCTGGCAAGCCCCACCCCCTCATCACCAGCCTTGAAGTATCAGATTGCATTTCCGGCCCCTTCTTTCCAAACCCCCAAGCCGGCCCAGCACCTGTTCCATTCCACAGCCAACAGGCTGAGGAAGACATAAGCTCCAGTCAGAGGTGGGGGATGGCAGGGCCTGTGCCCATCCTGGGGCTGCTGGCTGCCCTTGTTGTGTGTGGTAAGGGTGGACATGACTCCCTTCCTGGGGACTCTCTATGCCCACCTGCCCCCCACCACCACTGCATGGTGCCCTCCCTAAAATTATGCCTAATTCCCACTCCCACTCAGGCTTTCCTAACTTCAGGTACCCCACTCCCAGGGAGCAGCTGGCTTCCCTCTGCTCTGCCCTGACCCAGCAGGACCACAGGGAAGCTTCCTTTCTGGGTCCAGTGACCAGCACCCTGTTCCTCTCCCCGACCCTCCCAGGCAGCTGGGGCCTGAATGAGGAGCAACGGCTGATCCAGCACCTGTTCAAGGAAAAGGACTACAAGAAGGACCTTCGGCCGGTAGCTCACAAGGAGGACAGAGTGGATGTCGCCCTGAGTCTCACCCTCTCCAACCTCATCTCCCTGGTGAGTGGACCATTTGGGATGGGACAGACCGGGCAGAGGAAGGAGACAATGGATGGTTGCTCTAGGCTGACCAGCTCCTCTTCCATGAGACACGCCTGAGTGTTCTCCAGGCCGGATGGCATCACAGTCCTCAGCCACTCAAAGCCAGCAGCTCTGCCATCCACTGTCTCTGCCGGTCGCTATGCTCCCCCAGGACTCCCCGCAGCAGCCTTCGGCCCTCTGCTTTGGTAGTCTGCCGACTCACCTCTATTCACTGCTCCAGCAGGCACTGGCCCTTCCAGATGCCATGGTCCCCTGGAACCAGGCAGATTAGATGCCTGGTGAGTGAGTTTGGGTGAAAGACTGGTGAGAAGCTTTGGCAACAGCCCTCTTATCTGATTACAGAAAGAAGTGGAGGAGACCCTCACCACCAACGTGTGGATAGATCACGTAAGGACACCCTGCTGAAGGCTCCGGCCTCTTGTGCTCACTTCTGCTAGGGATCCACAAGCTCCTGCGGACACTCCTTTGGGAGAGTTTGACAAACAGAGCCCAGCGAGGCCTCTGCTAACTCCAAGGACATATCTGAGAAGACTAGGGTTCCCCTGTGCTAAAATTGTCACTCTGTCCTGACTTGCTTCGTTGTTGTTTTGAGACAGGGTTCTCTGTCCCTATTTCCCTGGCTAGCCTAGAACTTATGATGTAGACCAGGCTAGCCTCAAACTCACAGAGATTCATTTGCATCTGCCTCTTGACCACTGGGATTAAAGGTGTCCACCTTAATCCATCGGCCCCTATTTGCATTAGAAGTCACTCTTCTCATCAAAATATCAGAACTGGTAGAGTTTATGACATCAAAAGAAGCCTCCCAGGATGGAAATTGTGTTCCTTAGTGGTGTCATACACATCCTACACAACTGTCGGTGACGGGCCTGAGGTCTCACTCTTTACCTGTCTCCCCCAAATTTCTTTTGTCCCAACTCGCAGGCTTTGCTCCAGCTTCCCTAGAGAAGTGAGGACCACTGGGGAGGGTAGACAGTGCAGAGCCCACTTCTGACGTGCTTTTTGGACTTCCAGGCCTGGATAGACAGCCGGCTACAGTGGGATGCTGAAGAGTTCGGCAACATCACTGTGCTGCGCCTGCCCTCCGACATGGTGTGGCTGCCGGAGATTGTGCTGGAGAACAAGTTGAGAGGAGCTCTCCCAGACCTCCCTCCCTCATCCTGCTCCCCTTCCTTGTGCCCCGCAGCCTGCACCTCCGACCCTGCCTGCCCTCCCTTCCTCCCCTTCCTGACTGCCCAGGGCACACAGTGACCATGGTCCCCACCCCACAGCAATGACGGCTCCTTCCAGCTTTCCTTCGCCTGCAATGTGCTCGTTTATAACTCGGGCTCTGTGACCTGGCTGCCACCATCCATCTTCCGTTCCTCCTGCCCCATCTCGGTCACCTACTTTCCTTTTGATTGGCAGAACTGCTCCCTCAAATTCAGGTGCGTCCACCTGAATGTCTCTCGGTCCAGAGCACCCTGCCAGGGGCAGGAGGTGGTGAATGAAATGCTCTCAGGCAGAGGCCCTGGTCCCATGCTGACCAGAATCCTCTCAGACTATGGGGCCTTCCCCAGCTAGCCTTCCCCTCTCTGCCTCCAGAAGTGCCATCCAGAGACTCATGGTCATTCTTTGCCTACTGATCTCTCCAGTTCACTCAAGTACACAGCCAAGGAGATCAGACTTAGCCTGAAGCAGGAGGAGGAAGAAGATGGCCGCATCTACCCCATCGAATGGATTATCATTGACCCTGAGGGTTTCACAGGTACTTCAGACACCATGGTGGACTGGCCCTGAAGACACATACATTGTGGATGTACAGTCACACCAACACCTCACACACTCACAGCTAGGACACCAACGTGTGTACAGGCAGGAACGGCATGCCAGCACAGCCTACACACCTACATTTACTGACCCAAAGAGACTCCAGAGTCAGAGTGGAAGGAAGCAGGGACCCTCTCATCACTACTACCCTCAACACATTCAGGACATAGTTGTGAATATGGCAGGGTCTCTGAGGATGGATGTGGCTGATACAGGGGTGATCGGGCCTTCCTGCACCTAGAGAGCCTGGAGATGTGACTGGGGGTCCCATGGATGGATGTAGGCCACCACAGACTGCATCTGGGACAAGCTCAGCTCTGTGCGGCTCCCTGCTCAGCCCTGTCTAGAAGAAGAACCTGAGTCTTTCAGTTTCAGGGTTGGGAAATCCTAGATGGGAGTTTTATACACATCTAATGTTCTCCCTAAGATCTAGGCCAAGGAAGAATGGCCAAGAAATGGCGTTGGAGCTTTGGTTTTTAACCTAGAAGACAGACCCCAAAGGGCATGGTAATCTGTAATCTCAGCACTTGGGAGGCAGAAACAGAGCTGCCCAATTTCAAAGCCAGTCTGGTCTACACAAGGAGTTTCAGGCCATCCAGGGCTGCATGCCAAGACCTGTTTCAAAAAACTAACAAAACAAGGGGGGAAGAAAAGCCAGTGTGGTGGTGCATACCTGTAATCCTTGTACTTCAGAGGCCAAGGTAGGAGGATCATGAGTTCAAAGGCAGCCTTGGCTACATAGTGATACCATGATACCAGCCTGAACTGCAAACTCTAGGACTGAGAGCATGTGTGTGTGTGTGTGTATATATATAATATATAATATATATATATATATATATATATATATTTTGTTTACTCTCTCTGCGGGGGGCGGGGGTGTGTGTGTGTGTACATATATATATTATATTTTGTTTACTCTCTCTCTGCGGGGGGGGGGGGATTCGAGCCATGCCATGGCACATGTGTCAAGGTCAGAGGGCAGTTAGCATGAGTCAGTTCTCTCCTTTCCGGAGTCCCAGAGATTGAACTCAGGTCATCAGGCTTGGCAGACACCTTCCAACTCATGGAGCCATCTCATTGGCTCCTGACAGTGAGTTTTAAAAACTTTATCTTTAATTGTCACACAACCTACTTTTGACTTGTTATAACTTTTTTAAAAAAAATTACTTATCTATTTTATGTATCTGCGTGTATGTCTGCATATCAGAAGAGGGCATCTGGTCCCATGGGACTACAGTTATAGACTGTTGTGAGCAGCCATATGGGTGCTGGAAATTGAACCCAGGACTTCTGGAAGAGCTGCCAAGTGCTTTTAACTGCTGAGCCATCTCTCCAGACCCTTGTGATACCTTTAAGCCAAAATATATTCCTTATTTGAACCCTGTATGGCTTCAGCTTCTGGGTTTTTTTCCCAAGGGGGAGAGAAAGAGAGAGAGAGAGAGAGAGAGAGAGAGAAACAAAACAAACAAAAAACCATAAAAGAACCCCCCAGAAATGTCACAAAGGAAAACTTCTTCCTCAGAGACTGAACCTGCTAGTCTAACCCCCAGAGACAGACCCCACAGTACCTACGACTCCTCCATGCCTCAGCTCCCTCAGACAAGACCCTAGCTTGCTTTGCTCCACCCTGGCCCTTCATTCTATCCCAGGAGTCCTTGGCCCCATGGGTTCCCTCCTCCAGCTTGATCCCACGCTGTCCTTATACATCCCTCAGAGAACGGTGAATGGGAGATAGTCCACCGGGCAGCTAAGGTCAATGTGGACCCCAGTGTCCCGATGGACAGCACCAACCACCAAGACATCACCTTCTACCTCATCATCCGCCGCAAGCCTCTCTTCTACATCATCAACATCCTGGTACCCTGTGTGCTCATCTCCTTCATGATCAACCTGGTCTTCTACCTGCCAGGCGACTGTGAGCCTCACGTCCCACTCCCTGTCTCCCTGGCAGTCTCTCCCTAGGCCACCTAGCACAGGCGTTCCAGCCCTGCCCTTCTCTTCACGTGAGAGGAACGATGACTGTGGATGGCATTGCGTATAACTCAGCAGGAATAGCAGGCAGGCCTGGCTGGCCTTTGGTTTAGGAACTGCATGTTGGGGTTCTACTGGGATGGCTGGGAACTTTCTGAGTGGCAGGGGCTGGGCAAACATATAGTTCGTGTTGATCACTTACCTAATTTTATGCTTGAAATGCTTTGAGAAACAGGGAGTTTGAGATTAGGGTTTGTCCAGATCTCTCAACTAATAAGCTGTGGAGTCAGGATTTGAACCCAGGCACAGGATGCTGTACTCTATGATACTCATCATGGTAATGTGAACAGTAGGGCCCTGCCATGGGGGGACCTTGTGGACTGGAAGTGTGAGCTTCCAGCTAGGTCTTCCTCTCCAGGTGGAGAGAAGACATCAGTGGCCATCTCGGTGCTCCTGGCCCAATCTGTCTTCCTGTTGCTTATCTCCAAGAGGCTGCCTGCCACATCCATGGCCATCCCCCTGGTAGGCAAGTGAGTATCGCCCTGCCCATACCCAGCCCTGCCCGTGCCCCTGGCCCTTAGTCCCCAGCTCCAGGCATGGTGTGTACCCTCAGGTTCCTGCTCTTCGGTATGGTGCTGGTCACCATGGTTGTAGTGATCTGTGTCATCGTGCTCAACATCCACTTCCGAACACCCAGCACCCATGTGCTGTCCGAGGGAGTCAAGAAGGTGAGCGTTGCCTAAAGCTGGAAACCGAGTCCTGGCCAGGACGAGTGCTGGGAACAATGAGTATGCTCAGGGGTACCGCAGAAGCACTGTGGTCCTGTGGTGCAGAACGCAGACCTGGGTTCGATCCTCGGCTCCACTAAACTTTAAAAAAAAAATAAGGGGCCAGTTAGGTGACTCAGTGGGTTGGAGCACCTGCCACCAAGCTTGACCAACTGAGTTTGATTCCCAGGACCACATGGTATAAAGGGTATAAAGGACCAACTCCTGCAGGAGGTAGAGATGAGCACACACACACACACACACACACACACACACACACACACACACACACAAATAAATGCAATTTTAAAAGTAAAACAAAATGAAGCAGAAATTTTGGTGAGGACACAGAGGACAGGGTGCTTGGAACAAGCCTGTCTTTGCTCTAAGCCTCTCCCGGCCAGCAGGCTCTTCTGGAACAGGTCGTCTTCAGGATGATGGCTCTAGCTCTTCAACAGCGTTTGTCTTTAATTGCTTGAAGGGAGAGCTCAACATTCGGACTTTTTTTTTTTTTTTTTTGGTTTTTCGAGACAGGGTTTCTCTGTGTAGCTTTGCGCCTTTCCTGGATCTCGCTCTGTAGACCAGACTGGCCTCGAACTCACAGAGATCCGACTGCCTCTGCCTCCCGAGTGCTGGGATTAAAGGCGTGCGCCACCACCGCCCGGCAACATTCGGACTTTTATTTATTGGGACAGGGTCTTACTATACAGCTTGTAAAAAGAGGAGGGATGGGTATAGAGCTCAGTTGGTAGAGTGCTTGCCTAGCATGCACAAGGCCCAATACTGAATGTGAACCCAGCTGATGACACAGGCCTATAATCCTCGAGGGAGGATCAGAAGTTCAAGGTCATTCTCAGCTACGTGGTGAGTTCTAGGCTAACCTGGGATACAGGAGACCCTGATTCAAATAAAGAAAAGGAAAAGAAGGAGGAAGAGGAAGAAGAAAGAGGAGAGGGAGGAAAAGGAGGAGGCTGGGGTGTGGCTCTGTGATAAAGTGTATGCTCAGCCCGGTGGTGGTGGTGGCATACACCTTTATCCCAGCACCGGGAGGCAGAGCCAGGCAGATCTCTGTGAGTTTGAGGCCAGCCTAGTCTACAGAGTGAGATCCAGGACAGGAACCAAAACTACACAGAGAAACCCTGTCTCGAAAAACCAAGAAGAAAAAAAAAAACATATGCTCAAACTCTTAATTCTCCTGTCTCAGCCTTCTGAATGCTCGGAGTAAAGGTATGTATCCCCACCCTCAGCTTTTTGTTTTTAATATTTATTTTCAGTGACCGAGTTCTGCTCTGTCTGAGTAATGAGGGAGAGTTGACAGCATCCTTCATGCCAATCAGTGGGGGATCTGGGAAACAGATGATGGGGTCAGCCTGGGAGCTGTATGTGGCAACCAGAGACATCAGATGTGTAAAAGTCACTCCACACTTGTGAAATGGCCTATCTTGTGTCCCCTTGACTGCTCAAGTTCTTCCTGGAGATCCTGCCCAAGCTCCTGCACATGTCCCACCCAGCAGAGGACGACCCTGGCCCCAGGACTGCCATCCGGAGAAGCAGCTCCCTGGGGTACATCTCCAAGGCCGAGGAGTACTTCTCCCTTAAGTCCCGCAGTGACCTCATGTTTGAGAAGCAGTCAGAGCGCCATGGGCTGGCCCGGCGCCTCACCACAGCCCGTGAGTTCTGGTAGCCTTGGAGCTGGGCCCATGTGTGGGCAGTGGGCGTGGATAGGCATCACCCTTGCCCCTGACTCATGTCTACAGGCAGGCCCCCAGCAAGCTCTGAGCAGGCACAGCAGGAGCTCTTCAGCGAGTTGAAGCCAGCTGTGGATGGGGCAAACTTCATCGTCAACCACATGAGGAACCAAAACAGTTACAATGAGGTGAGTGACCCGGGCTCACCACGGAATACCGGTCAAGGGAATCCTGTCTTCCCCCCATACACTTCATGCCTCATATGCCCACTTAGATGAAGAGATGCATGATGGGTGAGGATCCCTTGATGTATGTTCTCCCAGGAAGGCAGAACCCCTTCATGAAACCCCACAGCCCCACACTGGGTGAGGCACAAGCTGGGGGGCCCAAACAGACATATGACCCTACCCCACCAGGACACATTCTAAGTACTTCTTAGGGTCCCTCTTTTCTGCTAAGATACTCCAGACCATGTCAGGTGTTGATTATATTGATTTTATTATTATGCTACTTTTGTGGTACTAGCTTTATGTATGCTGGGAAAGCACAGTGCCACTGAGCTACACTCCCAGCCCAGCCCCAGACCTTTCAAAGGCAGCCATACTGGGTTGTCTACTTTTTTTTTTTTTTTTTTTTTTTTTGGTTTTTCGAGACAGGGTTTCTCTGTGTAGCTTTGCGCCTTTCCTGGAACTCACTTGGTAGCCCAGGCTGGCCTCGAACTCACAGAGATCCGCCTGGCTCTGCCTCCCGAGTGCTGGGATTAAAGGCGTGCACCACCACCGCTCGGCGGGTTGTCTACTCTTAAGCAGCTTCTTCTTCTTTTTTTTTTTTTTAAAAAAAGATTTATTTATTTATTTATTATGTACACAGTGCTCTGTCTGCATATACACCTGCAGGCCAGAAGAGGGCACCAGATCTCATTACGGATGGTTGTGAGCCACCACGTGGTTGCTGGGAATTGAACTCAGGACCTCTGGAAGAGCTGCCAGTGCTCTTAACCACTGAGCCATCTCTCCAGCCCCACCAGCAACTTCTTAACAGTTCTGCATTATATACCCTGTTCATACATGGCTGGAAACAGCCCTGAATGTCTTGGGCCCCTACTGGGAGTGATGGCAGCCTGTCCTAACCCTAGCTGATGCAAGCCTGAGGTGGCCCCCACAGACACATAAAAGCCAAGTCTATGTGCCTCCATTTCTGGGGGTATGGGCCTGCAGTCTGAGGACCTCCCTCACCCCATGGTGTCTTGGCCTTCCTTGTAGGAGAAGGACAACTGGAACCAGGTGGCCCGCACACTGGACCGTCTCTGCCTGTTTGTGGTGACACCCGTGATGGTGGTGGGCACAGCCTGGATCTTCCTGCAGGGTGTCTACAACCAGCCCCCACCCCAGCCTTTCCCCGGGGACCCCTTCTCCTATGATGAGCAGGACAGGCGCTTCATCTAGAGCGAGCATGAGTGGGCAGCCAGGAAGACAGTAGTCTGAGATCAGCAGTTAGTTCCTGGCCGTGAGCTTGGGCCTAACTGATGCCGTGTGCTGGGCTGAGGTCATGGTAGAGAGAGGGCCCCTCCCAGGAGCAATTCCTTTCCAAATAAAGGAGGGGGAACTTGAGATGGGCTGAGAGTGGACATGGTGGGAGGGAGGCCCCAGGGATGGGGGAGAGGCAAGGGGCTTGCTCAGGGGCCAGGGAGCTGACACTGGACTAGCTTCTTGGGAAGAGCACAGGAAGGTCCTTCAGCCTGAGCCGCTTCTCCGCCTTGCTCCCTTCCGGGGCAGGTCAGAACTGAGCTTCCTGTTTCTGTGCCTTCCTGCCCCACCTGCTCCTCAAACTCAGGCTCCCAGTGCCCACCCGGGGCTGAAAGGGGGGACCCCGTCTCCAGTCCCCAGGGGAAGGAGGTTGTATATAGTGAGGGACTGTCCTGAGTGTCATCTGCCAGCCCTTGATTCTTTGGTCTTTCTATCTGGGTCCTTCTGAGAAGCTGGGGACTGGTGTGGGAGGGTCATGCTTGGCATCAGTTAAGGCCCCATCAGCCTGAGTCACACATATCTTAGAGCACCAGGCCCCAGCTCCCCTAAGGCATCCCTTCCTCCTTGTCCCCAGGTTCCCCAAACCAGGGCTGCTTTGCAATGTTTGAGGCACACTTATGATAAAGAATTGTCTGAAGCTCAAATTTGAATGTGTACCCAGTTGTCTTTTTGTTTGTTTGTTTTTGTTTTTGTTTTGTCGAGACAGGGTTTCTCTGTGTAGCTTTGGAGTCTGTCCTGGGACTCACTCTGTAGACCAGGCTGGCCTCGAACTCACGGAGATCCACCTGACTCTGCCTCCCGAGTGCTGGGATTTACGATGCTGGGGGTGGAACCCACAGGCCTGCACGGAGGCGAGCCTTCCCATCAGTCAGCTGCACCCCAGCCCTTAGCTGCAGTCCTCATCTGCACTATGCATGCAGTCAGACCCGTTCTCAAGTTGTGATTAACACTGAGTGTGTTTGCTGGGGTAAAAGTACCTGTGTTCCAGAAACCTAGGGAACTCCAAGGGTCATTTCTTATCCTGGTCCTCATTTGTGGGCTTGGGTTGCAGGACACAGTCAGAGGGGTTTGTGCCCAGGATTCTTGCATCCTAGCCTATCATTGTGGCAGAGAGGAGCCCGGACAGGAGAGAGTGGCCCCGTTATCTGCCTCCTTGTTGTACTGATGCGAGGTTATCACAGCTCAGTCTGTTTCATCACAGTGAAGTGGTGATGCCATTTGGTCCTGACTGCAGCAGGTAAGGGTTTGCATCTTGAGATGTGGCTGAGGAAAAGGAAAACCCATTTCAACCCCAAACCAACCCTAATTGCATCCAGAGCAAACTGTACAAACTCAAGGTGAAGTTCAGGAAGAGCAGCTTGGCCCGACACACACCAGAGAAGCAGGGAGTCCAGGACTCCCCAGAATTATCCAGCCATTCCTATACACGAAGAGCTGCCGTTACTGGCTACGTCTCTGGGCCATTCAGTGGCACTCCTGGAACCCTGCCATATGGTGGCACTGTGGGCGGCAGGGCCACCAACTAGTCCTCCTTGTTCCAGCTGAGACTGTGGACTCTCCAGAGGTGACAACCCCCAAATGCCATACTCAACCGAGGGTGCTGACGAGCTGTCAGGACTGGTCCTCCATGGTTGACTTAGAACCCCGTCTCCTTGTGGCCCAGGATGTCACATTCATCCAACAGCTTCCCAGGAGGCAGTTGGGTAAGCCTGTACTCCCCAGTCCAGTAGGGCCACCGGTCTTCTCAATGGATAGCACATCAGTTATGAGTGAACTAGGCTTCAAGGACAAAATGCAATGAGTCATAAGCATGGCTTAAGCAAGCAGGTGTCCTTATCCTCACGTAGTAAGGATTCAGAGGCAGCGACGGTTGGGCTGGCTCAGTTGTCAATAGTAAATAAATAAATAAAAAGCAGCTCGAGACTCAAATTCTTGGCTACCACCTAGACTGACTGCCACATCTCACTGGCCTTGTTACTCAGGCTTGCTGCCTCAGGTTGGGAGCTGGCTGCCACAGCCCCATACCTTACATCTATGTTCTGGCAGGAAAGGAGCCTGTCATTTATTACTCCTTTTCTCATGAAGCAAAGCTCCCCCACCAGTTCAGGTATGCACAAAACCCTGGGTTTGGTCTCCAGCACCACCGTGTCAAACCCAGCCTGGTAAACCTGGCAGTTGAGAGGGCAGAGGCACGGGGCTCAGAAGCTCAGCTTGTTCCTTAGCTATACAGCTGGCTTGAAGCCAGTCTGGGCTACACAAGACTGTGTCTCCCAAAGTTAATTAATTAAGTCCAAGAAATAAAGGAGGCGTTGAAAACATGGCGGAAGGGAAGTGAGAAAGCTCAGTGAGAAGAAGCTCTTGCGAGGAAAGCCTGACAACCCACGTTTAATTTCCCCAAACCCAAATAAACGCAGAATGGAGAACACATTGGAAAATGTTGCTCTCTGGGCCAGGTGTGGTAGCGCACACCTTTAATCCCAGCACTCAGGAGGCAGAGGCAGGTAGATCTTTGAGTTTGAGGCCAGCCTGGTCTATAGAGAGAGTTGCAGGACAGCCAGGGCTAGCCAGAGAAACCCTGTCTCAAAAACAAACAAAAGAAATGTTGCTTTCTGACCTACACACACACACCATGGCCATAGCATGTGTAGGTTCCTCATACATGTAATCACAATAATAATATAAATTTTAAAAAAACTTCCCATGAACCTCTGGAGCATCTTGTCTTAGTTAGGGTTTCTGTTGCTGTGATAAAACACCACGACCAAAAGCAGCTTGGGAGGAAAGGGTTTATTTCATCTTACAGTTGTAGTTCATCATACATGGAAGTCAGGCCAGGAACTCAAGGCAGGAACCTGGAGCCAGGAACTGAAGCAGGGGCCATGGAGGAGCTCTGCTCACTGGGTTGTTCATAGCTTGCTCAGCTTGCTTTCTTATACAATTCAGAACCATCTACCAAGGGGTGGCACTGCCTTCCGTGAGTGGGCTCACACTCACATCCATCATTGACCAAGAAAATGACCTACAGACTTGTGTACAGGCAATCTGGATGGAGGCCTTTTCTCAGCTGAGAGGTTCCTCTTCCCAGATAATGCTAGCTTGTGTCAAGTTGACAATAAACAAACGTGCCAACAACAACCTCAAACCAGGCTCCTTTGTGAACCAATGCAGTCACGTCATGATTTGATCAATGAGATGTGAGCCATGTCTGTAAGTTCAGAATCTTCGGATTGAGCCAGCCACAGACTAAAACTGTGTGGGGGGAAAATTTGTGCCTGGATTGTACCCAGACTTTTTCTTGTTATTATTCACTGATCCATAAAGCATGACAACTATTTGTACAGCATCGACACTGCATTTCGATCTGGCTCCCCGTGGGGACTGAGGAGGAGGTGTCACTAGTTAGCTTCTCCAGCCTTTGTCACAGGTGGTGGCAAGAAAGAAGCATCTGGAATGAAGAGACCCACGCGCATGCTTTCCCTCTCCACACCAGACTCTCCCAGGAGGCTCCACCCCTCCTAAGTGACTTGCCCTGCAGAGAAGGACAAGCCGGCTCCCAGACCTCTCTCCTAGAACACAGAGGAGAGAGGAGACAAGTGGAGCGACAGTCTTCGTGGGTAGGAAGGCGGCACAGTACAATCTTACACCCTCCCCTTCCTCTCCCGGACATGACACTTGTGGCAAGGCAAGTGGGGAGGGGCTAGAGGAACGGCAGGTGGCCACTGCTCACACCACTTCCTGACTATAGAGACCATTGCTCATCCTTGGCAAAGGGGAGCCAGGTCGGAGACACTGATGTGAAAAAAAAAATTGAAGGAATGCATTTGGGGACACCAGAGAGCAAGTGAGAAGGCCAGAGGCTTCGGGAGTGGAAAGGAACCTTTGGCTTTGGACCCTAGAGGGGAAGGCGCGTCTCCCAGGTGTTTAGTGAGTGAGTCTTTGCAGGGAAACAACAGGAACCCAGTGCAGGTCTGGCACCAAGGACAAGCCACCCACAAGGTCCCCAGTGGAAGAGGGGTCAATTCGAGAGATGGTGGAAGAAGATGGTACCACCACCACTCCCTGCTGGTGTCCACAGAGTCCTGGCGGACATGAGGGACTTGAGGCCCTTCAGGGCGCCGGCTTCTGAGCCTGACTTCTCATTTCTAAAACGCACTGCACTGTCACAGCCATCTGGTAGGGCGGGGGATGTCTCCTAGACATTCAGAGGTATCCAGTGCGGGCTGGGGCAGCCTCCATGTACTAATACACACTGAGACGACTGCTTGGAACAGTCGGCCACGTGACAGGTGGCCCAAGTGACACACCAGCAGGAGCAAGTCCCTGCCCCTAGACCAGCCCCAACCTCGTCCTTGGATGGTGACAAGCCTCAGAGTAAATAGGACTCATTCCCCAGTCCTTCCTTCTCCTGCGCTCCCCTCCTCTGGCTCTTGGGGACACATCCTAAGGTCTGGCCTGCCTGCCCCAGTGGCCCATGAGTCTCCCAGGCAGCTTGACACATCCCTGGATCTCCCCAGCCTCGCACAGGACCTGCCATTATTTGGTCATTTTATGAACTGCAGCCCGACTGACAAGCCACTGTCCACAGGTGGCTTAGTACAAGAACCCCCCACATTCTAAATCCTTCTCAGCCCTCCTAATCCCAGAACTTACTGGGTCTGTGTCCCCTGTCTCAAGGCATGGGAGAAGCTGCCATGGCCCCCTTATTGTCAATGCCGTAGTCTTCCAACATGCTTGCAGCCTTCTCCAGTCGGTGGCCTATGAGTCACACATGCTGCCCAAGATGCAGCCCTACGTACTTATAAATGAAAACAGGATATGACACTGTCAAAAGGTAGACACTCTGTAGGTGCTTCTTTCCTGTGTCTTGGTCCAGTGGACCAAGTGAGTGACCCACAAAGGCACTGGGCTACTGGGAGAGCGTTGAGATACTAAGTTGAAGTCACCGGGATCCCCATGTATAAATCACGCCTACACAACACCTTCCCACCTCCCTGAGACAGCATGAGGGTACCTGACCAGTCACCACCAGCCTCCTCAGCACCACCTCCCTTCCTACCTCCATCTGTCCTTGGCCATTTGCTGGGTCTCCTAGCTGGAAAAATAGGGGTAGGACTGAAGCAACTAAGTTTGCGGGTGGGCTGTCTCTGTTGAGACAGTCTTGAGAGCGTCCTGTCTCTGTTGGGACTATTCCATCCCTCTCCCCTGGCTGGCCCAGGTAATCTGAGCCCAGATTGTACATATCCTGGAACAGCTGACAGTGCTGTGGTCAGACAGCTGGTGGGGCCAGCTAGAGCTGGCAGGGATGGCTGGGATGGGAATGTAGGTTGACACACGACACCTCAGCCCACCCTACCCCATCCCCCAGACCTAGAGAGCTTCTGTCCCACCCGCTGCTGAGCAGAGCTGAGGCACCATGCGTGGAGACCAGGGACCTCAGCTCCTCCTGCCACTCCTGGCTGTCTGCCTGGGTGTGATATGAGGGGACCTGAGACCTAGGGTGGGGGGTGTGGAAGGAACAGATCAGGAGTACCAGGCTACAGTGGATGGAGGGTCTGGGGGTTATCTGTG